AGCCTGGAACATCGAAGAAAGGTTGGAGATTTGTCTCTCTTCTATAGATACTTTCACGGGAAGTGTTCAAGTGACTTGGCGCATTTGATTCCACCAAGAGCGGTACATATCAGAAATACGCGACAGACTGTGACTGCTCATCGTTTTGAGGTTCAATTCAGTACACCTCGAACTTCACTGTTCAAGAACTTTTTATCTGAAGAACTGCGTTTATGTGGAATAAACTTCCTGAGAACGTCCCTCCAAATGGATTAAATCTCCAGGATTATCGTGTAGTGCTTGTGTTTTGTCTTAAAAAAAAATGAAACATTTTCATGAACTTTTCATTTGTGAAAATTGCTTAATTATTATCATTGACAATGAATTTGATTTTATTTTAGTCTAGTAACAGGTCAGAGTATTCATAATATAATAATATAAATAATAAACTCGTGAACAGGTAATATGTTGAAATAAGTGCAATCACTTTAGTGGATAGTTTCAAATATAAAACAGTTGCTGTTGCATTTATAGACCTCCTTTGGGTGATTTTGATATATTCATTGAAAAATTGGAGAAGATTTGTATTTACTTGTAGGAAAATTAATTATTTCATTGTCTGCGGTGATCTAAACGTGAACAGTCTGGATATCACTAATGGCAAAACGAAAATATTGAATGATTGCTTAGAATCTTTTCATCTATCAAAACAACAAATGAGGCAACACATATCCTGAAAAATAATCATAACAATGTGAGTGCAACAGCAATTGACTACCCTGTCACAAATATTTCAAAAGAAAACTTCAGTGTATTCTTATATGATACTTTATTAGCCAAACATCTTGCCCATATTTTCTCATGCAATCTTACCAACTCTTTAGCGAATGATTCTCTGGCTACAACTACCTACTTCAATAGAAAATTTACAGATGAGAACTTACAAGAACTTAGGACACGACTAAGTNGTTTTATATAATTTTCATATTTTCATTTATGACATGTCTTATATCATGTATATGATCGAAAAGACGAATAAATTTATCATTATAATATAGAAATGTGAACATGATTTTCATTCTCTATATTTTTCAACTAATTTGAAGTCATCAGTTCACATCCAACTCTCAAAAGGTGAAGAAGTTATCAACAGTCATGAAAATATAATTACTATCAGATAAACAAATCTCCTCTCTAATTATGTAATGAAATATTCAAGTGTTTTGCAATTTTTATGATTGTCCGTATCTCTGATGAAAATAACCAATGAATTATCAATTGAGTATAGTTAAATATTGAATCGAATACGATAATAGGATATCTGGACATATTTATGGCGAATGAAAGTATATTGATGATAACACGATGGCAATTAAAAATATACGTTCTTGATGGTTTGGTGATAAATTTCAGCGGTTGGCAACAAGAAAAAGAAACTGTTACAGTTATTTAAGAAATAAATTCTGGTTAAACGGCTTCATATTTATTGAGTGTCTTCATTATGTGAAAAATGTTTTGGAGGAGTGCTTTGTCTGACAATGACAGGGAGACATGTGTTTGATAATAAAAACTCTATAATAAGATAGTTAAAATGTCTATGAAACTATTTTTATAGAAAAACATCAATTTTTTAAATGAATGTTTTATGTCTGTGGAGTAATAGTTGAATATTTGCTAGCTTTAAATATTTATCCTACATTGTATCAGTTGATGATCGTTTAATCAATTCACCAATCAAGTTGCCGTCCTATGACGCTATCGTCATTCATTTATGTCGTATACTTCTTTAACAGAATATAAATGAACTTGTATAGTTCATTCATACTCTAAATATGAATAGTTCAAATAATGTAAAATTGTATATGAGGAAATTATTAAGATTGACATGGTTTAATCAAATATGAATCAATGGACTCCAAAAGATTTTATTCACTTTTGTGAATGAATTTAGCTCAAATTTTTTCGTTTAAATATATTTTGTCATAATCGATTTTTTATAAATTTTCACCCTTTGAAAAATGTTCTGTATATTCCTAAACTTGGGTGATATACATTAAATTTGAGAAATATTTTTTTATCATACAGAGGAAACCAAAAATTACCCTTATATTTTCAAGTACTGAAAAACTTCATTCGGAAGTATTGTTTAGATTGACATTATTCACCAGAATATGAATTCATGACCATCCAGCTTTTATTGACTTTTTTGCCACGTTTCAAAACATCAATTTTGAAAATGACAGAAACAGTTTTATATTTGTAGAAAACTCATGTTTCAAGATGGATTGACGTGAACAATTCAATTAAGTCAGTCCTCTTGATCGAACCGAAGAGAAAAATCTTGAAGTAAATGAAGATTTTGTGAATGCTAGAAGCCATGAATTCATATTTGAGTGGAATAATGTCAATCTAAACAACTTTTCCAAATGATATTTTTCTGTATTTGATGCCCATTTGATTTGCTAATTTTTGGTTCTCCCTGTATTATAGAAGGTTTTTGAATTCGATGATGCAGAATATTTTTTTCATGGAGTGAAATGTTTCAATAAATCGATGATAAAACAATTTTCTGGGTTTCATTCCGTGTTCTGTGTTTGTTTTATCCACACAGGGATTTTTTTCAAGGCGTTTAGGCAAAGTATCATTTGATATCATCTGGTGATGTCTGGAGTTTGGACCTAGGTCCAAAGAGGTTACGAATATAAACGATTAGATTACTGCTATTGGGCCTAATTTTTTAAATGATAGAAATGCACTGAGAGAAATTTTATTTAATGATGAGGCTACGTTCACTGCTCAAAATTGCAGATACTGCTCTACTGAAAATCCCCGCTGGGTTATATACTGTAAGGACTAATATTTTCAAAAAGTTAATGTACGGTGTGGTTCTTTAGGCGACGGCATAATTGGAGCATTTTTCTTCAGTAATACCATTAACGCTGAACGAGTATTGCATTTTTTCGACAATGAATTATAGAAAATCATTGAAAATTTACCCTCAATATGCGACAAGAGATGTACTTTTATCTAGACGAAGATTCCGTTCATAATTCTTGGATGGTTCGAGAGTGGTTTAACGAACATTTTCCATTACGTTGGAGTGGTAGAAATAGTCCATATGAACAATGGCCTCCTTGCTCTCCTGACATAACTTCGATGGATTTTTACTTCTTGGCAACTATCAAGAATAGAATTTACAAATCTAGGGCACCAAATCAACAAGAACTTTATGAGAGAATACGGCAAGTCAGAACTTAGGAGAGTGGCCAGTAGTAATAGAAAAATATATCAGAGACAGTTGAGAGAGACAATATTTGTAACTGACTTCCCATATTAGTGTTTATTCAATTGCCTGTTGAATTCGCTTCAATAATTATTATCATTTAATTTCGACTGATGTCTCTGTGGCTTTTAAGTTACTAATTACCCAAAATTTTAATTTTTTTATAATGAATGGGCTTAACGTTGCTCTAGGGACTAAGCTCACCCTATACCTCCCCTGGTTTCGCCAATAAATACAATTACAAGCATACTGCCTACTTCATTACTAGTGGACACTTGTTTTATCTTTAGTCATGAAACGAAAGATCATTTCGTGGTTTTACTTGCACATACTTGTTTTAAATGAAGTGACAATATTTTGTTTTTCTCCATTTCTTGAAATTGGGAGGCTAAAAGAAAAAAGAATCCTTAATTTCTCCGAATTTTTATGAATTCCCAACATATTATATTGAACTGTAGTTTTTGCAAACACTGTTCGCCTCGTAACCCACTTGCTTGATAATTTTTGAAATATAACATAATAAATTAGTCTACTGTATCATTTACTATGACAACTTCACAACAGGTATCAGATTTATATTTCTGACCTACTTTAATGTGAATGTCACGATTGTAAATAAAGAAAATGAAGAGTTATCCTATTCACCTACATATTTCGCCATTAGCTACCATATAGAGGGAAATGCATTTGCATAATTACTTAGAAAAGATAATTGCGGTATTATCATGACGGATGACTGTTATTGAAGTATCCAATCGACTACCAGTTGCCAAGAATAATCATCATTGATTCTTAGATTATTACGATTTGCTTTTTTTAGATTAATGGGATAGGTGCAAAAATTTGGGTTATAGTTTTCTACAAATTACTTTTCTATATGAGAAGTTTNAAGACTTGCGGCAGAGAATTGTTCGGGAAAGCCGATTTCTGACTCCGGACATCTTCAATAATGTAAGGAATGCTTTCGAAAGTAGACTGTATTATTGGATGGAACTAGCTTGAGGTCATTTTGAACATTTTATCCGTTGATTGTGTTGCCATTGATATTATTTCCGTTGATTTTTTCTGAAATGAAACGTTCATCATTCAATTTCTTGATAACGAATGAACCAATTCCAAAAAAAAATGCAGAAATAATAGAGGGACAAAAGACCTTTCAAAAAATGATGTATCACTCGACCTCCCATGCCATTGAAAAGATAGGGTGGTAGTTGCTGACCGTAGGGGGTGAAGTTTCGGGTATGATTTCCATATCAGAAATAGTCCCGCTAGAAATAAAAATTGAAGTGTACTTTGAAATTTTCGATTACACGCCCGTTTCTAACTTACAGGGGGGTCAAATTTTCGATGGAACGCCCTGTACATAAGATATATAAGATATTATTTTTTACCCACTTCTCAAATAGCTTCGGTGGTCGGACGACTTGAGGAACAAATAAATAAATAAACGAAAATGCAATTAATTGATCGACTAACAAGACTCGTCCGTGAATAACGGTTCCTCATTCGATCGCCAGTAGAAAAAAAAACTATCCGCTCAACAATCCAAAACTGAGACAATACGATTACCGACAAACGAACGAAAAAAAACATCCTTTTTTGCCGTATTGCATAACAGGTCGAAAAGCGCATCGGCATTCGAAGAGTCGCGAGTCGATATGATCCCTCCACGTCCTCGACGACATCGCACCCAACCCACGACCACTTCGTCGAGACTCAGTATTGAACGGAATCGCGAACAGGCGCCATCGACTTACGCGAAATGACCGGAAAAGTGTACAGGGTGCTCCGATAGTATGAGCGCGCCTCAGAAGGACCCCGGGGACTGCCCCAAGGGGCCCCCCGATAGCCCCAAGAGGGCTCCCGATAGTCCCCATAGCCCGGCCAGCAAGAAGCTCCGGGACAGGGTGAGTTTCTTCGAGAAGGTGTGGACCGGCTCCGGGTCGGGAGCTGTAGGCGAAGGAGTTGCCGGAGTAGATGTCCAGGATCTGGAGCGTAGACTGGAGCAGGAGCGGCACCGGCACGTGGGGCACACACAGTTGGAGCACGTCACTTTGAGACAGACATCGTCGCCGAGGCATGCGGTGCATCTTGCAGGCATTGGGCCGGACGGAACTTTCCAGGCATGATTTTTTTTTGTTTTTTATGTCTGTCTCATAAGGGTTTTTTCAATGGTTTTCAGTAGCAACTGTATAGGTTGGGGTTAGGTTTAAACTAAGATGTATTTTCTTCAATTAGATATTTCAGATTGATGAAACTGTACAATGATTGAGAACGACAATTTAAAGTAGATAAAATTGTGACAGTGTGGCCCATTTGAAATGAAAACAACCCTATAAACAATGAAACATTCATTTTTCAACCGATTGAAATGATTTTTTCTATTAGGTATAGAAAATCGAAGAAAATTATTAACGATTTTNGAAATGATTTTTTCTATTAGGTATAGAAAATCGAAGAAAATTATTAACGATTTTGGAAAGAGTCTAACCACACAGTTTTGAAAAAAATTATAAATACTACGTTGTCTTCGACTACAATTTCATCATCCAGTATACATGCCGTTGTAATGTGGTGATATGATCAAATTGGAAAAAAGTAACTATTGTGGGGAACAGTACAATGGCCAAGAAAATCTACGAGTTATACAGCGAAAACTGAAAATGCTGTTTTTGGTTCTTTACGAAAATAATTTTCAATCCAGAAAATGAAAAAATGCAGAAGGAAAATTTTATTGTAATCGAAAAGTACTATAACGATGTAACGATAAATCTTTTATTAAACGTTTCATGACAACACGGCCACCATCAACTTATTTTTCAAATATGGACCTGCCTTTTTTATCACAAATATTAGTAATGCGATAAAATCTCAATTTAGTGGTATATCGCACTTGGTATTTTTATAGCGAATCATTTAAAGTAACTAGCATAATCAGTGGCAACAATCAAAGTGAGAAATTATTTATTTTATAATTAATTTTTGGAGGAAAATGAAACCAATACAAAAATGAATTCTTCAAAAAAAACTACATTATACTCGAAATGACGACATCTTTGTTGAATACACATAAGTTGTTCGATACAATTTTTGTGGAAATTTTCTAGCATGATGGGTGTACTGATATAACAAGTATCTTTTTTTTTAATGGCTGATATCTTTACTGTAACTGTATCCTTGATGCATTTATAGACAACTGGATCCTGTATCCTGCTTCCTTCATGTATTTCCAGACAAAAAATTCAAAAGGGGTAAGGTCTGAGGATCGAACTGGCCAGGCAATTGATCTATTGTTTTCAATCCACTTTGTTGGCAATATTGCATCTACATGTTTCCTTAACATTGGTGTATTATGAAGCGGTGCACCGTTGTATTTCTCGTGAATTTTGATTCGTCCGTCTAGGTATATAATTTTTTTTGCAAATATTTCCAACTCACCTATTCATACGTCTCAACCACTACGCACAATATTATTTTTTTTCCGTAATCGTTTTCATCAAGGTAGCGAACTATCCTGTGGCATTTGTATTTGTTTTTTTTTAATATATCTGGCAGATTTCACAAAAATCCCTAGTTCGTGAACAATTTATCATTGGGAACAATTTTAATAAGAAATATTTTTATAACTTACCAGTCCTAAATTGAAAAAATTGAGATTATATTTGCTTACCCAAAACACATGCATTCTCACATTTCCAGTAACAACACATTTTCTATTTTCCTTTCTGTCAAATGCATCAACACTCTCTAATTTCTTTACAATCGTCTAAAGATTTGAATACGACGATTCTGGTACAGCTCACCATACATATTTCTTGCCAAAAGAGGATTTCTATTTGATTTTGCAAAGTTACCGAGTGCATAAATGTCTGTCAGTTCTTAACAGATATTAACTCATGTATTTTTCCTGCCATAGAAACCAAGCAAAGCCTACGCGTTTATGAATGGTAAATAAAATAAGATGCTATTTAATTACAACAAATTACAACCAAGTTACCCAACAATCGTATTAATAAAACTATTCCTTATAAAATTGATTCAGGAGAAATACATCAATAGCTCCAACTTGTAGTGAGCCAGAATCCATTTCAATACTTCGAGAAAATATTAAAATGCCATTCTTTATTGATATTTCAACAAAACACATCTTCAACTTATCTAAATTTCAACGAAATGCCTTTCGTAAAAGAATTTTAGAGCAGAATAATAAGTTATTTGTGAGATAATGCTTGTCTGTTGATCAAATGCAAACCAGTTTTCAGAGATTAACTCTGGCATCTCCATCGAATAATGTGGATACATAATGTTGATTGCACTAGTGGATAGATAGGTTATGGTTTAGTCATCTTCTGGTTATACTAACTTGGTTAGCGGAATGTGCGTCGAGAGACCGCGCTTTTGTCCTGGTTCTGGAAAAGTGTTTTTATTGAAACAGTTTGTTTTCTTTTTCAGTTATCAATTTTTCAGTCCTCATTCAGACCTCAATAGGTTGGATAACCGATACTACATTTTATGTACTTTAAGAAAAATCATCTTTATCGAAGTATTCACTATGAACACACATGCATTATTTGTTTGGTTCACAGACTCTGAGTATAATTTTCCATTTCTACCTCAGTTTCGGAACTTGGGAAAAGATGTGTTTTGGATGAATTACAATCCATTATACGAATATTACAATAGATAAAATAACAACGTATAATTGATTATTTGTGACTGCGGTTCTCTATGGCACTAAATTATATTTTCCTTGAGTACCTTCCTTGAACCACTCAGTGGTTCTCCCGAACCACAGAAAATATAAGAAAGTGGCGGCACTTTCCTATTGAGAAGTNTCTCTATGGCACTAAATTATATTTTCCTTGAGTACCTTCCTTGAACCACTCAGTGGTTCTCCCGAACCACAGAAAATATAAGAAAGTGGCGGCACTTTCCTATTGAGAAGTCAAGTTTCTGTTACCTACTTTCCATTTCGGAAGCACTTATTAAATGCCATTTTTAGTGGAAAACTCCAAATTATTTGAAACTAGTGAGAGTAGCTTTATTTTACCATGTCCACGTTCAAAAACAACTGTTTGTAACGTTTTTGAGCTGACAATAATCACGTCAAGATAAAAATTCATGGTTCCTATTCCGTGCTGAATGTCACTTCTATAAGATATTCTATGTCTGTATACATTTATATTCAGAAGAAAAGTTCGATGTTTCAGAAGTTTAGAAAATTTTTATTGGTTCAGGAGACGTTATTGATTAATTATCTGTATTAATGAATCGTAATAGACCAAATAATCCCTACTTGCGCAGGAGTAAAACAACTTTGATCTCATCACTAGATCGTAAAAGAATAGATCAGTGTGGCAGACTTTACGATATTCACCTGGTACGGACGATTTTAAGTAAGCGATGGTTTATATTAGAAATGAACGTTTAGCGAATCGTTTCTGAAGAGCGTTCACCACAAGATGTCTGCGAGAAACCCGTTTGTTCGCATTTTCCACCTACATAACTTGCAGTTGACCGAGCACGGGTTCGAGAAGAAGTGCCTACGCGGACATGGCACGCGATGAAGATAACATTTGTTATGTGAAAGCATGTCAAGAAGGGCTTTGTCCACGTGAAGGCTTTTCTAGGTTTTATTCAGTTAGAATTTTTTCATGGGAGTTTTCACATGAACTGTTTACTAAACCGGTTTGCTCTGCAACATCTTCTTCAAAATGATGTTCATTTGGATTTTTTTCAACACGGACATGCAAGAAGTTAAAATTCTCTGTTTATTCAATGTTCCAGATCAACGGAGTCTTTTCTTACATTTTGAAATAATAAATAGGTATTAATTCAATATTGGGAAAATAGTTTGAATAGCACAAATAATCGAAAAACGTGTCAAGAATAACATATGAGATGTTGGTAATTTCATGTAATGGATAAAAATCTAAGTGACATTTGAAGCACCCTGTGTAAAAATAAATGCTGACACTACTTTTGTGCTATCTGCATCACTTGAACATTCAAATCTCGAATCTTTCAAGAAACAGCTCAATTACATTCGGAGCCTGCATAATTTTTTCGAAAAATAATATATTTGTCACTGGCACATTTTAAATTGAAAAATATCACCGCTGAAGTAGGACCTAAGAGATTAACTATTTCAATAGCAGAAAGATAAAATCGTTTTTCTCTTTGAAAAATGTGTTACTTTGCTGATACTGAAAAATGCACAACTCGGTGCTTCCCGAATTATTTTCAAAACGTGCAGTATAACTTTCACATAAATAACATTATTATCGATATATTGACACACCGGGTATATACTTTGTACTTTTGATTTTATTATACTTGTCTCATCTTCATTTTCCTTCTTCTTTGGTTTCAATCTCCAAACGTTTCTTAAGTTTATGATCTAGGTCTGGTGTCACTTGGAATTTTGGATCTATTAGTAGGTACCTTATAATACATTCTCACGTAATATCACTTTAAGAGAATGTGATTTGACGATTAGAATTCAATACTAGTTTTTATACCCTTTTGTACTACTCCTTTTGGTTACAGGACAATTCTTAAGATGCGTACTCTGAGATATCACTACAGATTGTATTATTAACAAGATACCTAGTAGTATTTGTAGAGTGTAGTTTCAAAAGTGTTGTCTTCTTATTCATATAATGGTATCGATCAGAATGTGTTTTTTTAGTTTTAGCCTTGTTTTGACGACATAGTAGTACTAAGAAATCTTTTAATTTTCTTAAATTCTTCTAGAGTGAATTCTGATGTTTTTCTGAAAGGTGACCTTGGCATTATAGACGAGTCTCTTGTTGTTTATTTACATCACCTAATTGACACTATACGGAATTTGAATGTGAGCTGGCATTGTACAAAGTATTTTATGTGTCATGCAAAACTTGTTTTTGTAGTTTTCGTTATCTGTTTTGATGTACATTGAGATTTGTTGTAGATAACTTCACGGTAAAAGTCACTTCCAAAGACAGGAAACATTATTTTTAAAGTTTATTAGTTTAGTGATACAATTTTTCTGAAGAAATGTTGGTTGGGTAACAGGATCAATTTTTTTTTAAAAAACAATTGTTTTCCTGCCGTTTCGAATTTAATCAAATTCTTCTTCAGG